TGCTCTAATTTTGTAACCTAGACAACTGTTTCTGAGATGACAATATGTAATCTATTAACTAGTTAATTTTTTCTGTATATTATTTCTCTTGAAATTCTGTATCACTTGTAGCCTTTAACTGTCTTGCTTTGTTTTGTTTTGTTTTTCTTTTTAAATAAAAATTTTTAAAAAGTGCTAAAAAAAAAAAAAAAAAAAAAAGATTAATAGGGAAAGGTGTGCTCTAAAGGGGCAGGTTCAGGTCAGCAGAAGGAAAACAAAGCAGGAGTGGGACAGTAGAGGGCCTGAGGTGGGGGGTGGGAGAAGATAAGTCAGAATTTTGGTCTTGAGAAAAAAAGTACTTGCTGCCTAGAGCACTTCTCACTGGATCTTAGTGCCCGTGTTTGAGAAAACAATTGACAGGGCACTGAGTCATCTCAGTGGTATCTACTGTACATGACTGTTCCTAGGACTCACTCTAATTACATGCCTGCCATGTGATTGATACATACACAGGCTGATGAATTTTGAGAAGGGAAGGTCACTATAGGTCACGCCACTGTATCTGTTATTGTTTGTGTCTAGATGCTCCCTGAAAGCCTCATGCAGTCATATGGGTTTTGCAGAGGTGGCTGGATCTAGAGTGTGTGATGCTGGGATCACGGATGTGTGATTACTGAACTACTTCACTGATGGCTACCTTCTTGCTTTCAGCCAATCACAAACTGTTTCTCCTCTACAATGGTCTTCTGCCGGCCTTGAAGACATTTAACTCTGAACTGAAATCTCTACAAACAAGGAAGCAAAACAACCCTTTTTTCCTTTAACTTTGAGTGCTATATATTTTTGTCTTAGTAGTTCAGTAACTACAATAGTATCTAATATACATGAGCTCCAGCCTGGCCTTTTAGGGATTTCTTGGGTCTTTGTTATATTTCTCTCTGCTTCTCCTAGGGCAATGTAATGAGGATTGCCTCTGGGATGCTGAGCTAGTTGAGGTGAATGGACAGTTACCCCACAACCTCAATTATTCTGTTTACACTACATCTTACTCGCCAGATCTGGTCACTGAAAATCATTAAGGGATACAGAAGGCAGGATATCCTTCTTCCATGCTTACTGCACTGAACAGGGCACAGGCCTTACCTATGTGGAGACCAAGAACTTTCATTCTGCCTCATCTAGGGAGCTAAGTGAAACTGATTTTTTTTTGTTGTTGTTGTTTTTTTTGTCTTTTGAGACAGGGTCTCACAATGCAGTTCAGGTTGGCCTTGAACTCACTTTGTGATCTAAGGTTGAACTCACAATGATCCTCCTGCCTCAGGCCCCTGAATGCTGGGATTCCAGGAGTGTACTACCATGCCAGTTTTCATTTGTTTGTTTGCTGGGAGAACCTTATTACTCTTCTGAGAATTTCTTACTGAATTGCTGATGGGTAGGTGGTTTTGGCACTTGGCTCAGGCCATTAGCTAAATTAATAGTTGTTAAAAAGAAAAACACCCAAGAAAATTGGAATAAGAGATTAGGTACAAAACATCTAAACAGTAAGATTACAAGAAGTACTAATACAGATTCTGTTTAGAAAAGTAAGCAGCATTCTCAATTTCAGATTTTTGGGAAGCATGTCCATGACTTAACTAATTCCTGGAAGATTTTAGATGTACGCTCAGCAGCTTTTGCCATGTATGTCTGACTAGTATAGAGTGATTGAAATAGGAATTACATTCTTCTTTTAAAAACCAATGCAATCCTTGCTTTCCGAGATGCATTCCTCTGTGGTTTTATATGGTCACCACTGCCAGTGAGTCTCTCTGATTTTGGAGGATGGCAATAATCCAGCCAGTTCCATGATGAGCAGTGATTGCAAACCTTTTAGGACTTTCAATGTATGCTATAGGTTTGCCACCACTGGTCTAGGCTTTCTGTCACATTCTTAGGGAGCAGACCACAGTAGGAGAGGAATGTGCTTATATTTAAGGTTTTGTGTAAGTAATCAGTGTCTATTATCTTTTCCAGAGGTTGTATTTGAACTTTGCAGGAGGATTTCAAGAGAAAGAACAAGGCAAAAAAAAAAAGTCATTTTATCAGTTTGAGCAAGTATTTCAAGAGTGTATATCAGCAATCAAGAGACTAGCAAAACTAGCTATACAATACACCTATGGGGATGGCCTAATCCTGGCTGTAGCTACCCTTTGCTTTTATTTAGAAGAAACAAAATGGTTTATTTATCTGGTTCAGCAAGTACATTGGTAATTTCAACTCTGACAAAAAGTTGAGGCTGGTTCACAGGTGTGCAAATGTTGTGGTTTCCCTGCTTTGTGGTTTCTCAAGGGGTTGGGGTTTCACTTTGGAGAGATGACCCTAACAATCTATTAACTATACCCTTATGGTAGAAGGAGGGTTGCATAAGGGGCTTTTTATCTAAGGATGAGTTAATCTTTGGGCCTACATTCCTTTCAGATCCTGATTAATCCTGAAAGTGGGGCAGACTCTGAGCTCACGATTAATGTTGCTTCCTAAGGATGGCAGAATCTTATTTCCATATCCGTTGGAGGTTCATAGAATATTCCCAGCTGGGTAACATGTTAGAGGAGCTGAGAAGCTTAGATGTCATTAACTAGGTCAGATATCAACATGTGCCTTTCAAAGGCATCTTAAATGAGTGGAGATTAAGTCTGGATTGGAGAGAAGCTATGTCAAGCAGCCCCATTGCTCACATCAAGGCAATTGACACAACTCACTCACATGGTTTTCCTGACACTGCCTGGGTGAGGTCCACTTGAGGGTTTGAATGACTCATTTGACCTCTCCTAGGGCCTGAGGCCACAGGACAGCATGGACATGGTTTCCAGTGCTTAGAGATCTCTGTATGATCTGGAATGTGAAGTAGAGTCCATAATCACTCTGGGTAGATCAAATCTAGGGATCACTTCTTTAAGAAGGATATTTCCCTCCACCTGGCCTGTTCTGAGCTTGTGGAGAAGGCCTCTGTCCACCCATAAAAGATATCCATACACACCAAAAAAATGTGTGTAACCTGCACACTGAGGTGTATGAGTGAAGCCTGTTTGCTGATCTCCCTAGGGGAAGATCTTTACCACTGTATTAGTTCAGACAACACAGTTGGGGGGTGAGTGGATTATGGAGGGCACAGACAGAGCCCATCGTACGACCTGGGTTGTGCTGTTATGAACTCCAGGCGTATGTGCCACAGCAGGGGCAATAGCATAAATAGCACTGCTGGGGCTAGGAGGGCACCCCTCTGTCCACTTGAATTTGGACAAAACCCCAGGCAAAGCTTCTTTTTATTTTTCTAACACAAGCAGAAATAAAATAAGAAAGATTCAAGAACACTTTGAAGCATCAGGCCAGATCATATGCGTGTTAGATCTCATTTTAGATCTCGAACCTGAGGAGCTCTCCCTAATCAATTCTCATTCAGTGTTCATACAATTAAATCATTGTGCAATTAAATCAGAGTGAAGGCTGGATGAATATCAGGTTCCCTGAAAACAGATTATTATTGTCAGTGATTTCTTTGAATGTTATTCTGAGATCCAGTCAGAGGCACCAGGGATGGGGTACATAGCTTTAAAATTCAAAAGATTGATTTATCTTCTCCTTCTTCCTCTGGACAACACTTTGCATTTATGGCGTATTTTTACTTCTGTTGGCAAATAAAATAAAAAAGAGTTTATCGTTGGCAAATTTTTCAGTAAATGTATTTACTGCGGCAGGTTTCACAGTAGCTAATATGTGTACTCATCACCATATGATTGGATAAAAAATATGCTGTGCAGATACACAAATGAGTATTATTCAGTTATAAGGAACAGTGAAAGCCAGTCATTCATACCACAGTAGGTAGACCTGGAAGATACCCTGCTAAACAAACAAAATAAGCCATACACAGAAAAAGAGTATCACATTTTCCCTCTCAGATGTAGAAGTAACAACAAACCGCATTCAGGAAAACTCCCTGATCTGAAAATAGAGGGCTTGCTAAGAGTGTTTTGGGCATGAGAGAAGAAAGGTGTATGGTCACGAACATTGTACCAGGGTTGCAGTAAACATGTAACACAGTTGTCTGACTTAACTTTTCTCGTTGCTGAGACTAAATACCAGACACCCAAAGTTAGAGGAGGAAAGGCTATTTAGTTCACAGTTTCTAGAGATTTTAATTCAAAGTTGGGTGGCTCCAAAGCAGGTAGGCATAGTAGAGGAGCATGTTGGAGGATAAACAATCCATGGCAAGAAGCACGCAGGAGCACCTTGCAAGTTTAAGCTCCAAGTAGCAAGCAACTGCATTAACCCTCTGTCTCTTCTATTTTCTTTGTCCAGTGTGAGGCATCCTTAATCCTACTAAGAACTAAGTCAAAAGTATTTAGTGACTGACTTAGTAATCATACACCTTAATCCCAGCATCACATACTATAGATTCAGCCACCTGAATCCCAAAATGGTGACTGTATGAGGCTTTGGGGAGACATCTAGACACAAGTCCTAACAACAGTAAATCACACTTATTTGTACAATTAATATATAATAATAACCAGAATTTTAAAATCATTTAAAAATTGACATATTCTGTATATAATCTATTACTTTTAAAGGGGAAGGCTTTGGAAAAATTTAAGTTACTATTATTTAATCTTTCAATTGGCAGTGAATGTATAATATACATTCTATTGTACCATGAAGTTCTGGGTGCCGAAATTATCAACAGTCTATAGTTATCTGATTATTGTGGTCATTAACATTAATGAAAAATAAACTACTTTTACTATAGAGAGCATTTTTAATTGTTTCTAAACTGACAAGTCTCTTGATTGGTACTAGCAGAAATCTACACTTCTTGCATTTGAAAAAATATGCCTGAGCATTTTGGGTCATTCTAAAAGACAAAATTAGGGGAGTGAAATAATTTTTTATAATCTGTTATTTAAATTACACAAAAACATGCAAATATTCCAAAGTTAAGTTACTAAGATAATAAAATCATGAGCAAGTAGTTTCTTGGGACGTTTGTGCCATTTTCCACAGATTTTTTTATTGGGAATTAGTTGAAATGTACATTAAATAAGACAAACTCATGATGTGAGAGCCAAGAAATTTAGTATTATTGCAACATGGTTAATAAGACATCACAAACATTAAAACTTATTAAAAAATCATCACTTCAAATTCATGCTAAGTGAGGATGTTCAAGTTGTGGTTGTATGCACCCCAGACAACAAAGCTGCACTCTAAAAGTTACATTAAAAAAGGTTATTTCCAAAGGGAACATTAAAATCTTAATGAAAGACTGGAGTCAGGATTACTTGACTAAGATTTTACATGCTATGTTTCTCCAAAGTTATTGTTCTTTTTTTCATTTTCACTGTCTATGTTTGAAAGTCAGTCATTAAATTCAGTGCACATTCAAAAGTGTGCTCGTAGGAACAGAGGGTTGAACTGAGCTTTAACATCTTGAGGAAGAGTAAAAATATGTATTATTTTGATTTCTTTACTAGGAAAGAGAGATTTCAAAGAGAAAGTGTGACCATCCTCTTCTGTGGAATTTATATAGATGGATAACGAAAAGTATTCTTTGATTATGATAAAAAGAAAATCAGTGTTACTTTTGGAATAACAGCTTCAAGCTATAGCAAGAATGAAATCCAATGACTGGAAAGATTATGAGTGGCAAAGAATTAAACACAGTGAATGTGAAGACTTATTTGGAGATACTTATTTAGGTGGAGTCACAGCAAAACCATTTTATCCTAAGATTCATATGACAAGGATATTATTAGCTGTTTTTATTTTAGTAACCTTGGTTCTGTTAATATGATTCTCCATTCCAGTCTGGATTTCCTGTGACACTCGTCACAAGAAAATAAAAGTTTTAAAATCCTCAATTTGATTAAACTCATTGAATTTAAATCACGAAACATATCAAAATCAAAAGTTATAGGCTTCCTTCTTTTTTTTAATTTTTGACTTTTAGGCCCTCTTCATGAAACAGATTTCCACGAAACAAGAAGCAGATCCAGAAAATTCTTTACTGTTTGGAATCATATATATATATTCTATATGCATAGTTTTCTTGGTAGTACAAGTTAAATCTAAGAAGATGATGTGGCCCTTCTCCACATAGCCCTGCTTGTGCACACTGGCAATTAATGAATTTTATTTTCACAAAAGCAGGAGGCCTTGCAACCATTCTTGACCAGTGGATGATTACAGGTTGCTGATTTTTTCAAACTGACACAGTTGGAATAGTCATCTTCATGTTCGCAAGCATTGGCTGAAATAAAAATAAAACCATTAGTCACCAAATTATCACTAATCTCCATAGCAATCACAAGAACAATAAATTCAGTGGCAATGGAGGGAGCCTGCACACACAGGTTGACATTATTAGAGAATGATGACAATTTCGTATGTTGACTAACATGCAAGGTTCCTTAGTTAATTCACTGAGCCATCCGGTGCTTCTTTGTATCTGAAATTTTGGAATATTTCTAGAACAAATTATCTTAATTTCCTCTCAAAAATAGTGAATAAAAGTAAATGAAGCTCTCTAGAAATGAACCATCTAAAATAGTAACCACTAATCATGTATTTGTTTTGATTAAACTTTACTTAAAATTAAAATCCTATATTCTCAGCAGCACCAGTTATATTCCAAGTGCCAGTGTGTCTAGGAGCTGCTCTACTGAACGTGGGAGCACTGGGCATGTTCCTCACTGTGGAGATGTATTGGCTAGCAGTGCACTAGAGCAGCGTGTTAAGCAATGGCACGTGTGCTAGAATGGGCAGTCACACGTGCCAAGGCGCCAGCATTGCACCAGTAGCTGAGCATCACATATGCAGGTTTAATTGCATTGTTGGAATTTTGCAATTGATCTCTAAAAGGTTTGCCACATTTGACTTTAACCACACTAGGGCTCCTCAAAATAAATGATCTTATGGGAAGACAGATATGTAGATACATTTTTTACATTTAAATTGGAGAGAGTATCAACATGATTATTAGATATGTATACTTCGTTGTCTCTCTGTTTCCAGAAGTTGAACAAATCTCAGCCTACATTCATCATCCTACCTAAAGTCTTAACATTTCTTTGATAACCAACTCCGCAAGACTCCGCTGAATTCACCCAATCACAAAGAAATGGTACTCCCAACTGCTAAGTAATTCAAACCAGGTTCTAAGAGTCAACAGAAACATCTTTTTGGTTTCTGAGATGGGCCTCAGTATGCTGCCCAGGCTGTTTTTGTACTCCTGTATTCAAATGAATGTGCTCTTTCATCCTCTCAGTAGCTGGGACTCTAGGTGTGCACCACTATGCCCAACTCTGTCCCTTATACTGACATTCACAAACCAAAAGTGAATATTCTGCTTTCTTTTCTCTCTCATGCCTGTCTTTCTTTTCAGTCCTCTTGCTACTATTGTTGTAGAGCTGTTCAAGTGTTTTGGAGTCCAAATCTCCTACCTGCCTTTTGTGTAACTGCTTCTTTCTACTATTTGAAGCATCTCCTTCTAAAACACATTTCTGATCTTGCCAATTCTGTTTAAAATCTTTCAGTTAGCTATTCATTATTAATAGGATAGATTCCAAACTCTTGGGCCGTAGCATTCCTCAAAGTTGTGTATTCTTGGCTTTTATATCTTTAGTTGGTTTATAGCTTTGATATCATTTATATATATATTTTAGTAATGCATGTTTGCACTCCAGAATAAAGAATTTGGTTGTGGAAAATTAGTACATGCTTATAACACACAGATCATTTTCAATTGCATCATCCCTGTATCTTTCCTCGCTCCCTCAATCAACATCCGTGTCTCTAAAAGTGTGCCTTCTAGTTTCTGCCAACTTGCATTAATTAATTAATTAATTCGGTTTCTTACATAAGAGAAAATGTGTGATATTTGACTTATGGGGTTTATTTAACTTGATGGTCTCTAATTGTCACCATTTTCTTGCAAATGATGTGATTTTAGTATTTTAATGGCCAATGATATTCATATACATGTATATATATATATATATATATCACATATTCATATGTATGATTTTCTTTATTCATCCCCCCCAATGGACATCTTATTATTTCAGTGGCCTACCTATTGTGAATTGCTATGTATGTATTATGTTAGATGCTATTGTGCACTGTTATGTATGTGTTATGTTAGATGCTTTCTTTAAAACTTTTTTGGAACATATAGGTGACAGGTTTTATTTGACCGAATGGTATTTATACATTTAGTTTTTTGAGGCATCTTTCATATTGACCTCTTATACTGGCTTATACTGGTTTATAGTCTACCAGCAGTGCAGAATGGTTTCCATTTTACCAAATCCTCACATGTATTCATTGTTCTTATTCTTGATTATATCATTAATATTCTGAATATTTATTATCCAATTGAGTCCCAGTACCAAAAAAAAAAAAAAAAAAAGGTTTTCATAGATAGTGAGCCATGTAAATGACTCACTATCATCAAAAAATATCAATGAATCATAGGTATTTCCTTCTATTACAGTGGAAACAGTCTTTTCATATCTAAGAGCACAAATAAAAGGAAGAAGGTGAAATTTGTATAGCACTTAGGCTCCAATATCTTTGCTTGAAGATACCTTTTAATTGCTTACTTCAGAGGATTTCCTAATTCCCCCAAAAGCCTGTCATGGTATTTTGTGAACTAGCAGGTTAATGCATCACACTTACTGCAGAGTCTATCCTCACAGTGATCCGGGCAACTGGCACAGGAGGCTCCTTGTTTATAAGGGACATACAGTCTTGCCAGATTATTACCACTGAAATTGGAAAGAAAAAAACATCAAATATGGTATTTGAAATTCTTTTGTGCAGACTCCACTCATAGCCAAATATGTATGTAGATATTCATGAAAGGATTTTAATTGCTTTAAATGATTACAAATCTAATAATCCCAGGATGTTTGAATGATAATGCCCAGAAGGGAAAAATTCAGACTTAGTTTTTTACTTCATTATGATCTCAGAACTTGAGTGACTGCAACAGAATTACCCGAGCCTCAGATTTTCACAGCATGTTTCAGCGTGGCTAGAGCTTCTTAATTTCCAAGTAGACATGGTCAAATCACTAAGATGGCACACTACAAAGTACATCTAACAATAAAACATACTTCTTGTACAGAAAGGAAATGATTCTAGACAATGGAGATATACAGTGGAAAATATACTAAATACTTCATTTAACATTTAATTAAAAGTGGAAGAAACTCCTATAAGATCAAAGAATATAAGTAAAGCTCCAGTGAAACTTTGGCTTCTAGGTGTGAGTGACAATCCTTCAGGTGTTTGTGGTATGTATTTTAGTGAGGGGGTTGTGCTCTAACAAGTTTGGTAATATTTAAAGGTGTTTGTATGTGTGTGCATGTATGCCTGTGTGATTTTTATGTTTTAAAATTGGAAATGATATTTTAAAAAAAGAAAAGGGTTTTGTTAACAACAATCTGCACAATGTACTGATCTCACAATGCCCAGCTTGTGTCTCCTGAAGATTAGCACACTATTGTTTATTTATCTGAATATTCAAGGAGGTCAAATTCTTAATACCACCAAACTCAGCAAAATTCCAAGATAACACAAACTGATTTTCTCCACAAAGAATACATGAGAAACTAGGAAAACTATGGAATAGATATAAAAATACTGTAGAAGTTGTCTCTCTGTTTTTGTTTTGTTTTGTTATTTTTCACTTTGACTCTACTCCAGACACCAGGATATAGATGTACTCATCTTATGATCAGGAAGTCCAATCATTCTGTTAGTATAATTCAGTTCCTTCTGCTTAACACCAAGAGAACTTTCGGAAAATATTTCAAAGGTCATGTGTTTAAAAACCCAACATCGGCGGCTGGGGATTTAGCTCAGCAGCATAAACGCCTGTTTTGCAAGCAGGCAGTCGTGAGTTCGATCCTTCCTACCAATAAAAAAAGGAAAAAGACAAAAAAAAAAAAAAAAAACCAAAAAAACAAAACAAAAAAAAACAACCCAACATCATCTGTTTTATCTACAATCTAAAAGTGGATCATGTTAGGATGCTTAGTTTAGTGAGATCTTCTGCCTCCACTGGTAAAAACATTCATGTATGAGAAAGAAATGAAAACTAATGATTCTATTGGTATTTCTTTATTACATAATACAATAGTTTATGGAAAATTTCAAACATGCTTTAGGGAAGGTATGAGTTTTTGGCTATAAGTCATGATCTTAATGAATAGTTTCTATGGAAACTTTTATAGTAAATCGTGAAAGGCATAGGCTTAAAGAGGTATCTTTTCTTGACCTTTTGAAATAAAATCTTTTAATATATCTATTAAAGAGCTGTAATTCAAAGATTTAATTATTCCTTAGTGGCCAAGGTAACAATTTAAGCAACAGTACAAACACTGGAACAGGAGCTGGTAGAATCACTAAGTCATTACACACTTTCACTTATCTTTTGTGTGAACCAACACTTCACTTTCTAGTTTGTGAACTTAGACTACTCAAGAATGGAAATACACAGCATGGACCTCACAGGGTAACCCTGAGTCTAGGTGACAGCAATTGAGAAGGAAAACAAACCATTTTAGCCAAGAAGAAAGAGCATCTGAAGATAACTTTGCAACTGAGATACTCATCTTTCCAAAAATTTGGATAGGTATGCCTCTGCTTTAGAAAAACTATCTAAAGATTCCTTTCATCTTCTTGTAAAAATGCTTTGTAGCCTTTTTTACATCATAATTGAGACTTATTAATTTGCCTTCAGCATTATTGACAATCATCTCTAAGTGTGAACTTACGCAGGGCAGTAATGACAAACCATGAAGTACTTAAAAGTTGGTTGGCTAGGACAATAGCTGACTCCACATCCGACTTGGAAAGAGGAGAACCAAGCAACCTGGGCATCCATGAGGGAAGAGATAGGACAACGTGGGAGGAAACGAAAATATAACAGAAAGAATGTTAGACAGTTCTTTTTAACCGTATACCTTATATATGTTACTGAATCAAATGAAACATATTTTAATATATTACATTATTCTGTACATTCACTCTTGAATTGTTTTAGATTATTAGAAAAGCACAGATTGTTTCTATACAATGAAGATATTGATAACATTAGGGTATTGAAAAATAACAAGCTCAAATTTCCCTCTAAAATGCCCAGACTATATCCACAGAAAATTTTACTTCCAATTTGATTTTGCAATGAGTTAAAATTTGGACACTTCTTTTCCTTTAGGTTGTGTAGTGCAGGGAACATTTTCTTCCTTTTCTTACCTGTGTATAGTGTCCAACTGGTTTATTGGCTGACAGTGGCCCTACATTGTACTTAAAATTCTCCCTCTCATCATACCACTCTTGGATTGCTGATGACCATGAATAGGGAGCACTTGACATGAAGAGATTCTCACCACAGCTTGTATCTAAGAGAGAATTGCAATAAAGCATGCAATGGAACACAAACACACACACACACACACACACACACACACACACACACACACACACACACACAACAGAATAGGCAGAGTCCCTGCTCTTCAAAAACTATGCCCATAGCTGTGGAATGCTACATAATCCATAAGGAAAGTGATAGCAGACCCTTATCTGCTATAATCAAATAGGCAGCCAGTGTGCCCAGTGCATGTGGCTGCTATTTGTTTATAGCAGATAAGTGTGTCAATGTAGAAAGCTTTCAGTAGATAAACAAGTCTTCTTTCCTTAATGTCTGTGCTGCTTAGACTCATTCATTAACACATTAAATTCTTTACGTATATCGTATATGCCTTGTACCTGCTCAATTTTTTTGAAAATTACTAACTCTTCTAATTTCTCTCCTGTTCTAAACAGTTCTCAATAGAATATCCATATATATAATCTGAATTAATATTAAAGTTTATTAGTTTATGTAAACTTTGAAAAAAATGCACAGAGACTTTCTAAAACGTCCAAATATGAACAAACACCAGAAAGCAGAGGATTTTTCAAGTTGGTTGTAGTTCCCTTAATCAATCAATCAGAGCATCACAGGCCAAATACTCCCTCAAAATGAATAAAAAATATCCTGCAGCACCAAATTATTCCAATAGTTTTCAAGCCGTGGAAATGTTATTTTTACTTGGATGTTAAACGTGATGCCCACATGTGCTTAAAGAAAGAATAAACTACTTTTTTCTTTCCCGTTTAAACTTGTGTATACTTTAAGAGGAAAAGCAAGAAACTAAGACTTTTATATTAGACTTAGACTTTAAAGAGCAATTTTTATAATTTTCTAACTAAAGTCACTAATTGGTAATGTATTGGAAGTCAGAAATTCTAAATGTTGATTTACAAAATTTTGATATTTGTTAATTTACATACTGAGTTTTCGGTAAGGTGCGTCACTGTGTTTGAGCTTGCACTGGTCCGCCCAGGCTTGGGCTTTCTTTGCTGCCTCGCTGCTCCATCTCTGGGAGAAAAAAAGAAACACAGATGTTTGTTCAATGTTTGAAAAGTCAAACACAGAAAATATATAGTTAGATTGATAGCTTCATTTATATCTCTACAAAAGTTCTCTAATTGAAGGTTAAATATTACATAGTTTGTCTTATACGTGAAAGCCAAACTATAAATAATTTAAACAGCAAAATAAAAGATAGATGATAAGCAGCAGGGTGTTAAATTGTGGAACTGGGATGGGATTCTAGGGAGAGTAGAAAACCGGATGGAGAAGAAGGGGAGGGGAAAGAAGATTAAGATTAATAGCAATTCCAGTACCAAGGCCTCGCCTGTGAGTGTATGTACTATGCGTCACAAACTTGTTAATACAAAATAAATAATACAAGCTGTCTGCAAAGGTATTTTCCATCTTTTTAAACCAAAAGCATATATGTATATTAATGTGCTTTTTAATAGTATGTTGCTGTAAGTAACTAAAAATCTAAGCTGTTCCAATTATTTTAATGGCACAGCAAACACAACTAATGACTTGTAGTGCTTTTCTATTCTAAATATTGTATCTCTGGTCCCTCTCCTTTTAGGATGTATGACTATTGGTGCTGGAATCAGAAAGCTGCACAACAGTGAACACTAGACTGAATGGTGTACAGAGAGAATCTTCCAGTCCAAATTAGCCGATAAGAGAATGAGCAGAAAAATACAAAGATTTTCATTGAATGCCTAGGGATTCTAAGGCCATAACTTAAAAAATCCATTAAACTTGACAAGGTCGATAAATGTTATTAAAGGAAGCTAAGAAATTCTGCCCTGATCATCAAACAAGTCAAATGCAAAACTCAAGGCTGAACTTCTTAGGCACAAGTGCGATGTCTTTGCCAGCTGCCTGCTCTTAGCACACCTCACGGTGGCTCAAGGCGCCTGCCCTACATGAAGGCCTCTCACCATCTTCAGCATGTCACTGGCAGTTGGAGAGACTGCTCTCCTTAGTTCGTTGTGTTTATTTACAATCTCCTCTTGGACTTTTGGTAAGGTGGTTGACAAAGCAGCAAAAGCTTGCTCCTAAGAAGAAATAAAATCAGATTATTTTTAGTACATTTGAAAATTACAAGTGAATAAGTCTATTTCTTTCCAAAGAACAAAGATGATTTTGAAAAAAGTGTTTACATCCAGTCAGTATTATTTGTTTAACATTGTCAATGATTCTAAGAAAAACTTACGTATTTTAAACAGGAAAATAGTAGATTAAAGCTTTAAGGATAGGGATGTAATCAGTGATGGGGCAAATTGAACTCTCAGGCCACAGATGCTATTTTTGTTTTTAGAAAAGAACTACTATGTTTTTTCTAGAACCATATGGGAGATAACATATTACAATGACAAAGGTACATAAAAGGAACCAGTAAGTCATTCATACTCAATCAGGTGGCAACAGAAGGCTGCTAAGATACAGGCACATACTGCACTATAGACCTGAGAGAGATCATTCTTCGAACAGGGCATCCAATACCTAGAGAAACGGACTCTGTAGAAAAGTATTTGAAAAGAAAACAAATTAAGTGAATGAAACCCTAAGTGAGGAATAACTTGTCTCCCGGTTGATAGTTTGATTGTGGTAACACAAGGACCATTTTTCGGTAGATGACACTACAGTTGGAGTTTTCTAGTGCCTACCTAGCGTGTGTCCAAAATTAAAGCAAAATCAAGAAATATAAACAAAATTAAATAAAACTAAAGCAGGATATGATAACCAAAAGGAATGCCCAAATCTCTGACATTCTATTCTCTGGACAGATAATAAACACCCTCCTTGGGCATCTGCACACCCTATCTTTGAAAAGGATGAATAATTTTGCTTCCAGAATTATTTAATGAAAATGTTTATTAGAAATAATTGGAGAATGGTGAAAATATCTACTTAATAATTTTAGTAAATTTTCATTTAAAAACAGGTATAATTGTTGTCCTATATTATCTGTAAAAATTAGATATAGCAATGTCTGTGAAGAAGACATAGTAATTTGAAATTACATGTAAAGATACCATTAATTTTCTGTGAGGATCATGTTTAAATGAATTAATAAAACCAATCAAAGCAACTTTTGAGGCAGGAGAACTTATTTTTGCTTTAAATACATAGACTTATGTCATCAAAACAGTTCAAATACCACATGTAATCTCAGTTTTAAGTTGCTCACTTTAAAAAGGATAATCATGTAAATTGAATAATGTGTATTATTTAACACATGTAGCCAAAACACATTTTCCTTGTCACCAAATTAAAGTTATTGAGGGATATTTTGTCTCCTTTCGTTGGACTATCTCTGAAACCCCCTCTTAAGTGTATGCCCAGAGCTTCTAGTGAATATTTTGCAATGTACTGGACACTCCAGTGCTTTTCAGTTTTGAAGACTGATCTGGTAGCTGTTTTCTCTCATGGTTTCCTGAGTTGTTTGAAAAGAATTTCAACCTTAACTTTACCTCATTTCCATTTGCAGGGAAAGATGGGAGGAGTACAGCAACCAGGAACAGGATCACTGGGAATAATGCCATTGCTGGGAAATAAAACACAGGGAACAGTCTTGCATTACAATGCTTAATAGGTAGAGGTGGAGCCCTGAATAGCTCCATTATCCAAATTGATTCATAAGGTGACAAGTGAAGAATTGCCACATGGAGCAGCAGAATGATGCTGGGCTGAGCTGCAGAAGGATATCTCTGTAGGGGCAGTAATCACAAATGGAAGTGCCTTGAAGGAGCTCTGAAGCACACCTCCTGATAAAGGCCTAGTAACTTTTCCTCCCAAGCCACACTCTGACTGTGAAGCTGCTCTCTCTGGTACTAGGGCTGGCATCTTCACCTTGCGCTTTCAGAAGTAATAACTCTGTTATGCTTACACCTAGAGCTCTTCAAGAGCCACCTGCACTCAGATGAGGGGCATCAGAAACGCGACTGGATTATGAGGGCCTTGTAGCTGATTTGCTGTTATAATACCTGGTCCAAATAGGCAGGTTTCTAAGGAAGTATCAGTGGAATTTTATCTTCTTCTCTGGGTCCTTTCTGTGTCTCTGCAACAGTTTGTCTTGCCTTTGAGCCGGCAGTCTATGGAATGATAGTCAAACCACAAGAAACGCCTTTTCCCTTAAGCTGTGGGTGACCAGCACTTGGTCGCAGCAGGAAGAAAGTAACCAGGGCAAGCACCCAACCATTGATTGCACTGCAGAGACTACTGTGTTTAGCCCTTTTTGGCTACTTAAGACCTGTTTATAGCCTTTTAAGTTAGCATTTCTTGAAATTACAAGATGGAAAAGGACGTTTATTTTATTTCAGGGCTCAGGTTTGTTCTTTGATCCCCTGAAAATTGTAGGCTTTTCTTCTAAAAATGATCTGTTGGTTTTCATACTTTTGAATCAGTCTGCTCAACTTTAACCAGTATTCTCTGTTAAGACTTGATCTTTAACATCATGCCTCAAACTCCAAAAAACCCAAACTTCCAAACAAACAAACAAACAAACAAACAAGAAAACCACAATGTTCAAGATTTTTAAATAGTTTATAATTTGATTGCTCAATTTTAGTGGGTTACTAATAAAACATTTATGAATATCCTTGTTATACATGTTCACAAAATTTGCTTTACTAATTCAAATTTTTGTGTTTCTAATAAAATAGTAAATTACACCATAAGACTTTGAGGCATTTGAGGTGAGCTGCATCCCAAGTACCTCTTCTACTTTGAGATACTGTCTTACTAAGTCATTAAATTGACTGGATTGAAATTACTGTTTTCTTGCCCAAAGTAAACAAAATGCTGATAAATCTTCTTTTATCATTATATGCAAGGGTAAACACTTTATAAACTAATAACATTTAATAATGGAGAGATGCAATGCCTAAGTAAATTAGAATACTGCCCCTTATTGAAGCATATTAGACATAAAAGCCACCATAAATTTATAGCCCTTCTGTAACTTGAGAGTTAAGCTCTTTGTTAAAAAATTGAACATCAAATTGCTCAGTGCTGATCTTTAGCTTATTCTACACAGCGTGAATGTATTTTCAATGTATTTGGAGGAATCCTCTGAGAAAGCACTTGATGGTCAATGAAATAGTAAGGGACGGAGACAGATACAACACAATTAGTGTCCCTATAAATGTTTTATAGGATATATGTAAATGTTTTGATATAGGGGGAATGTTTTTCCCCTACACACACACACACACACACACACACACACACACACACACACACTCGTATAGGGAAGTGACCATGTGAGGACACAGTGTAAAGATGGCTACCTGCACATCAGCAAGAAAGACCTCACTGGGAAATAACCAGGGCATCTTGATCTGGAACATCTAGCCTTCCCAACAGTTAGAATATAATTTTTTTCTTATTCAATCATGTGTTGTTATATTGTCTGACCAAATTAATATACATTCCCCTCTTGAGGCTTTGAAACCTAGGTTACTTTGAATGAATTTGTTAAGACCTGGCAGGTTGAAACCTGGAGCAGCAGGTCTGCATTTTGACAGGTGAGTCAGACCAGATGCTGCAGGAAGGGTTTGCAGCTGGATTGTCCAGCACCCAAGTCTCAAGGCAGCTGTGCTTTTTTCATTTATATACAACAACAAATCTATGAGAGAGTAAGTGGGGAGAGACAGCAAGAGGGAAAAGGATAAAAAGAGGGAGAGGGAGAAGGAGAGACAGAGAGATGCTGTACTATCTATAAGAAAGTGTCAAACGATGTTTTACTGCAAAGTGAGAGTGATTTCTTCAGAGTCTAGAGCAGCCTGGGAATGACATGTTTTGATTCTCCTGGAGAATCTCTTCCTCTTATGAAATTAATCATCAGACAAAAAGCTAGGCATAGAATGAAAAGGCAAAAAGAAATCCGAGAGAAATAATTAGTCATCATGTAGAAAAGCATTATTTTATGCAATTTCAAAAATACATCACAGTGACTCACACTGATTCACAAAGGAGAAAGTTTTATAAAAAGATATTTACTCTTGGAATTGATCCAACTTTGCAAGACCAGTTATTTTTGTTACTTACTGCAACATTGCATATTCATACTTTAGGCATTACGTGACCTCCTGATGAGTGCATTGTTATTTTTTTGATTGTTGGAAATGGACCTAGGATTCCTTTAGCCTCAGTATTAATTTCTCATTAATTATATCATATGAATACTTTTGGTTCACTTAATTCTTAGAATGGATAATAGCTACATCCTTCAGCAACACATCTAAGTTCCCCTCCCCAAGGAAAGTAAGAGGCTAATTCCAAGTACATTGGCCCTTGGATAAATGTATTGAAAGTCTACACAGTAAATTTTGCTTTGCAATGAATTTTTCATTTTGAGGTGCAGTACATTGCTTCTGTCAATTTGATCATGTTCATTTGTCTTTTTCCATAACGATTTTGAAAGTTATGGAAATGCACTGTGGCTAAGGATTACTCATTCAATATAAGCCACCGGGCCAATGTCCAGAGACCTTTTTGTAGATCTTCAATGCTTTTGGGCAGGAAAGTCCTCTGGTAATGACTTCTGATACATATCTTGGTCAATTTGATAACAAAAGAGAAAAACAGGCTCTTTTGTTTTCAAGCCAGAAATAACTAAATATTTTTCTTGCCTTTCACTGTTTTGACCATGTTTTGCATACTTTCAGGACAGCATTTGAGTCATTGTTGAACATGAAGAAGTGAACAAGATACAACGTCTGTATAAGAATCCTGACAATCATTAAGGAGCCTATCATTCAAATAACCACATCTTAGCTGCAGAAATTTTCCCACGTGTAGAAAAGTGGATCATCAAGTTGTATTTTGCTTTATTCCAACCCTTGCTGGTGCTTTCTGGGGAAAGATTGTGACAAATCTAAACTACTTGGTGCTGAGGAGGTAAACATTTCAATTGTGGGGAACAGGACAAAGATGCATGATAATCATCAGAACATTGGGCTCCATGCCAGTTAAGAGCTTCCCTAAGGGCTGCTGTAAACAGAAAGTTCACATCAGGGGTAGGGGGAAATTCTGAAGGTTTCGGAAAGAATTAGGAAAAACATCTGGCTCTAACTCTCATTCATCTGTATGGAGGCAATTTCTAAACATCCTGCAGTTATACATTTTCTTTGCTGTGTCCTAGGAAGGAACCTTGGCTGAATTTAAATTCATTTATTTTAAAAGAATTATTTTTATATGTAACTAATTTAGCTTTCTGTTCTTACTTCTGCATTTTTCCTTTTCTAAACACACTGGAAATTTTTATGTGTGAACAGAGAAAAGCCAAATGCAGAAATATCAATCATTTGAAATTTCAGGTCCTTTCAGTAGCTTTTTGCTACTATTTAATTCTGAATTTACAGTAAACCATATTTATCTTTTTGAGATATAAATAAATGTACGTTATTAAATTAAACTGCAACATAAACTATTTACTGATGTTAAGGCCACTATTGTCATAGAATTGTTTTGAAAAAGAAAGTATTCCTACTGGCAATCATTGTATGTTAAGTGACAAACACATTTATAGAACTTTTACAAGTATGACTTATCTTAAAAGTCGTTTTTTGGAAATAATGTTTTCTAAATTATGACAGGAAAATTTTGCTTATTTGCCAAAAGAATTCATCAAATTTTTGATTTATAAAGTAAACCTTTTTCTTATCACTGTATCAGTCTTTCTTTCTGCCAACTCAGAATTAATTTCAAAGGAATTACACAAACAAGAGGGAAACATGGATTCTAAATCAGTACCAAAAGGCTAGCAAGAAAACTCCACGGCTTTTGGCATGTACATATGAGTACGTGTTTGTCTTTGTATACCTGTGTATGACTACGTGCGTGCCTTACATACTTTCTCATCCCTAGGATGAAATACCTGACAACAATAATTTACAGGAAGAGATGTTTATTTATTTTGGTTCACAGCGCAGTAGTGTGCGTCCAGGCTCAGCAGGCTTAAACACAGAAAGCTATGGCAGAAGTGCCAGCATGAAGGAAAGCTGCAAGAAGCAAACAGAAGGGTAGGGAGTCAGGAGAATATACGTTCTTCCAGATCTTAGTCCCAGAAAGCTGCCTCTAACCAGGCACCAGCTCCTGACAGCAAGTCAACTACTCTTCCCAAAATCCGGAAGACTCCTGGGAGCGTCTAGATGTAAATCCTAAGCACACGTGTGGTAAAAATGAAGTGAAAGTGAATGTGATGTCTTGGGGGCTGGAGCCCAGGTGAGGACGTAATGAAAATAATGGCTTCAAGTTCCTGTGCTGACTTCAGAACAATGGTTTCTTTTTCGTTTGTAGAAAAATTCTGTAGCAACAGAACAAACACTGGTCTTGCCCGACATTAAATGTCAACGTGATAACATCCAGGAAACATACGAACCATTGTGCATAAAGAACTGAGGATAATCAAGATTAAGAAGGTCACAACTGAAAGAAATAAAGATATGTGTAGCTAAGCTCTCCAGGGCTATCACAATTACTCCTTTATTCCTCCAAACATCTGTTGTGAGATTAAAAGAAGCCGTGTACTTGCTGTTGGTCTTTAGTGTATTATTGCTACCGAATTAATGATCTCTTTTATTTGAACTGGTTTTTTTAAAGCTGCATGTAGGGATTGTATCTAATAATGTTTTTGTTGCATGATTTCTTCATTAATGTTAAAAAAATTTACCACTGTTTTATCATTCTGAAGTATGCTTGCAACCTTGCTGTAACTCTACTAGATATTTTTACAATATGTTCAAAATGAATGAGAACAATTTTTTGTTTTGGTTAGGAAGTTTTGCTTTTAATTTATAAAATGGGCCCATTATTCTGAGTGTGGTGGTACACTCCTATAATTCCAGCTTTGAGGAGGCTGAGGCATCAGAGTCATGAGTTCAAGGCTAGCAGGGTTTACATGGCGAGCTAAAGGCCAGCGTAGATTAGTGAGTGACAGCCAATGCCAAACAAACAGGCCCATTATTAATTACTGTTTTCCTCATCTGTTTTACAGTCAATCCCAGCTCCTTTCCATTCAGGGTTTTTCCATTCAGGTTATTCTTTATATAGATGAAGTAATGTTGGTAAGCTACAAAGTGGGAGCAAGTGGAAATGACTTAGACTGATGAGAATGTCATTGTGACACCATCTGTCCACACAAAAGTTCAAGGGTTGAGAGCCCAGGAGAAGGTTTTGGGAGGTCCAAATCTTTGAGAAGTGGGGCCTAGTACCCAGATGTTAGGTGAGTTGAGATCACTGTCCTGAGAAAGGTTAGGGAGCTCTCTTGGATTTCTTTGGTACTATTTGTTTTCAGCAGAGCAAACACAACCCTAAGCCCGACCCCACTCAGCATTCTGGTTATTGCTCCATCTGCATATGGTGTCAGCATTGTAATCCCACTGTGCTGTGACACAGTTGAGTGTCCCAGAGCTGAGCTCTTGAACCTCACAAACTAAGAGAACCTCTCTTCTTAATATTGTTAACCTGCTTCTGGTATTTCATTGCAGTAATGCATGATAAACTAACACGAGGAGCACAGTATTTGATACATGGGTCTATTTTATAAATATAATGCAAAAATTCTAACTAAACCTTAACTTACTAATTTCAAAAGAGCGTTAAAAACAAAATGATCCAGTACAATTATGTTAGAACTAAAAAGGGGATTCAATATTAAAAATTCATTAGTAAAATTTGTCACATTGATAAGATAAAATACAATATAATGAAAACATGTTACTAAAACCAACCCATATCTGTCATTTTAAAATAGAACTGAATAGATAATTAATTTAGTAGTAATAATTTACTAAATATCTACAGTAAGTAAATGGTTATTAAAAAACTCTAGGTATACCCTATTTTATATTATATTAGGAATAAAAAAGAATGACTAATATTGTTACTTAACATGAGAGATGATACAGTCTTTAAAGAGAAAAGAATATAAATAGCATTTGTAAGTCTTGTAAGTGAAAAAGTAAAATTATAAGCTTTTAAATGTGGTCATCTGTCTAGAGAATACACTATAATCAACAAATTTACTACATACACTTGCTTTATTTTAGAGAGCAACACTGAAGCATACAAGATTTAAAACATCACAAATAATACTAACAGCAGTATAAAATGTTAGACAAACAACAAAGAACAACAAAAAAAAACCTTTTTGAGAAAATTTTAAGAAGTCCACTAAATAACAAAAAAGACCTCAGTAAATTAAAACTTTTATAATCTTAATTGACAATGTACTAACACCATCATTAATCTTAAAGAATTTTTTGTATAGCTACTTATCATTTGAATAAAAACACAGATTAATCCAGGAATAAGTCAGTACATTTGTAAAGCATGTGTTAGCATGGACCTGTGAATGCCAGCACTCTGGGAGACTGAGACAGGGCGATCACAAATTTGAGATCAGCATGGAGAATTTAGTTACTTATGAAGCCTCATTTCGAAGTAAACTAATAAAGGGAATATAGCTCAGCATGAAAGCCCTGGGTTAAATCCACAGTGCCCCGTGGGGAAAAGGGGACCCTGGGAAAATTTCAAGATAAATAATAGTCGTGTCTTTCTATAGCTTTTCAGAGCGGTTACTAACATAGATGACAAATGTTTTGGTGAGATTTCATATTATTGCAGGAAAAGAAAGATTTAAAAAATGGAGATGGTTAGAAAGTGTCAGTGATAGACCTAACAAGCATCAAAAAGCAGTGAGAGAAGGACAGATTATATAGCATATAGTACTGGGAGAAATGGCTCCTTATAAGGACAAAATTAATTATGTCTTTTTAACTATTGTCTTTAAGAGTACATATATGGATTAACCTATAGATAAATAAGAAAAATTTGCACGCAACTTATCAGGGCCATATCCTTCTACCATAATTTAGCTATACATCATAATGAATATATTGTGATTTAGTTTTGTGCCACTCACTGTGTGCCTCTCTATGGATTTATTTCCAAATCAATAAAGCAACACGATCGACACTATTACTCAGTACTACAATTTACCAGTGACAATCCTAGGATGAGAGAATTAATAATGAGAAATCATAAACATTCAAATAGCAGAACTATCTGATACTCCTAGTTTGGTGTCAAAACCCCTACTCCTGTGATGAAGAGCACAGGAAAATTTTAAAGGATTATGTATATCATCAAATGTTATGAAAACACCAGCATTTGGGTGTGAAATGTGTGCATTATATCCAAGGCTGTATTTACAGACAAGTCATAGCATAGAAAAGTATCAGACCCAGTATTTTCTAACTTTGAAGGAAACACTAAATCCTCATTCTGATCACGTTCATCTCATCAGCAATCTGTGTGGCAGAAAGCAGTCATGCAAACGCACCATTTGCAAACCCGCTGGACTTCATTTGTAGGAAATCTGGAAAGCTATCTAAATAAAAGTATTTCCCTTTGGCCATTCTCAAACAGCACCTTTTTCCTTTTCAAGAATGAAACCCTTCCTAGTTCCTAAATTGATTAAACAGTATTTCTGCTTTTCTTAGCTGTATGTGTTTACGCAACTTGAAAACTACCTGAGCTTCATCCAGGGGCCACAATTCACCTCACAGAGCAAAATTAAAGAGTAGCTCGCGGGGGTGAAACTTCATCATTCTAACATCCTTTGATCCGCCTTCAGAAGTTTCCTCACACAGGCAGACATTCTAGGTTTGCGTTTTAACTAGCAGAGGCCGATCCAGTCTGGCAAGATGTGAATAGTCCTAGAGCCGCTGGATGGCACGTGGCCATAGAGGGAAAGGCAAGAACAAACACATTTTAGAAGTGTGTAACACCTCTTCTGTTGCTTAAAGGTAGGTCTGTCATATCGGAATATTCTCTAGAATTATTTTTTATTTGCCATAAAATATAAAGTTCTCTGTGGAAATTGCTTCCTACATAAAAATACACAATAAATATTACATTTAAATTTCTTTCAAAAAATGTGGGAGCCTGAGCAGGTTGGAGTTTGACTGGCAAATTTCTAAAAGTATTTGTTTTCTTTTTCAGTCTGTATATATGTCATGAGATAAATTATACTCCATGTTGGTGATCATTAATAAAATATTTTTATCTCAAAAGTACTGCTATAATTTTGTTTTGATTAATTTAAAACTATTAGCAAGGATGATTTTGTATGCTTAATCTAACAATGTCCAATACTAAATTATAGCCATATGTTATGGTTAGTAAAAATTACTTCTCAATAGATGCTTTTCATTCTTGTACCAGCAATAATTCTAATACAAATCTAATATTATCATTTGAGCATGAAAAGTAGTCACAGTGTTGCCTGTAGAATGAAGAAATTACACGTAATTATCAAATTGGATAAAGTGAGTTTTCCAAAAGTGTAGCTACTTATACATTACCTCCTAGCTCAAAAGTTTATTAGGACATTCTCAGAACATATAATCAATAGACTTTCAAAAAGCATACCTATGTTTATCAAATGTATCATTTTGCCACTATCCAGTTGTAAATACACTGGCATAATGGAATGTCCATCCTGAAGTAAAGCAGTTGCCACTTACCACTGCTGGTTCCTGGAGCAGGATGTAGTATTCGTTTCATCAGCTGGCAGAAGGAAGGTGGACAGAGAGAGAAGGTCAGAGCCTTATATATGCAACACTTACTTCCTGTTTAGCAAAGTGTGGTTGTTCAAGTAAATCCTGGTTAACAATGTCTGATTCAGGAGCTGTCACATCAATGGTCTCAAATTCCATTGCTTGTCTAACTGAAATTTTGACATTAGTTAGCTGCATAGCTAATCCACATAGCTAATAATAAAGTGCTATAAAATTTTTCCTATTGTGTATTTATTCTTTGGAACTCTAATATTATTATAATTGATACACATTTTTGCCAATAAATATTTTAAAATTTCTTAATTCAAGTTACTCTCATTGTAGTCACAGAGCTTTCCGGACTACTTCTATGACAGCAAAGATAGGAGAGATGTGCATAGTGGAACACATCTTCAATTTCTGAACTTTGGATCTAAGGCAAGAGGCTGTAAATTTGATCCTCTCCCGGGCAATTTAGGGAGACTCCGTATTAAAACAAAGAATTAAAAAGGCTGGGTATGTACTTTAATGCAAAAACCCAGATTTTAGTGATAACTGTGGCAAAAATATGTAATAGCTTATGCCTAGTCCACAGACACACCGTTGAATTTGTAACTTATTTTATTCAATTCTGATAAAGTTTAGTACATGTGTAAGCTGACTGCTATATTAGAAGAATCTTTAAGTGTTACGATTTACTTTGAGTCTACTTTAAGTGCTTCTTTTCCTTACTGTCCACTCAAATGTGCCCCTCACACTTGTCAAGTATAAGACTGAAAAACACATCACAATTGTGAATGGCTATACATTCCCTACGATGAATGTGATCAATATGTATGACAGATATGTACTAGTGAAAAAATAAAGTTAATAGAGTTTGTGGAGGTTTTATTCCATAATCAGTTGGCTCCAAAACAGGCTGGCATGGCAGAGGGGCAGCAGTTCAAGGCATCAGAAGACAGAAAAAGCAGCAAGAGCCAAAGAGGATGAGAACAAGCCTCTTGTAGTCCCTTATAAGCTATCTGTCCTGAGGCAGGTGTAGCACCCAAACCATCTCTTACACAGGCTCAGTAAGTTTACAATCTGAGGACCCTGGCTCCTTGCTGAATCACTTAGTTAAACTTCTAAACTTCTCAAGCTGATACAATGTATCACCCATTACAACATTCTAGAGGGTAAACAATCATACCAGGACACTCCTCTACACCCTAGGAGAGGAACTGCTGAGTGACTTAGCTATGCCTCTAAACTTATCAACTTGATACAATGCATGAATCATTACAATAGGGAATGCTCTTGAAAGTTTTCAAAAATTATTCTTATTGTACAGTTTTAAGGAGTACAGTATGATAACTCAAAACACACATACAATATTTAGTTATTAAATCGGTATACTTAATATTTCCCTCCAGAAAACATAGTAATTGTACATAGTGTGACATGCATACAATATGTACTCATCAAGTCAGGGTAGTTAACATTGTCACCTATATATCATTACTTTGTGTTTAAACATTGGAGTTCCTCTCTTCCAGTTATCCTTAAAATATATAATAGAAGTTTTGAAACACAGTCACTCTGCCATGTTGTGCAGAACACTGGAACTTAGTATTTCTGTCTAACTGTTTTGTGGTGCATATTATCCATTCATCTCCCATAGCTGTCCTCAACTTTTCCAGCTTCCAATAATAATATTTTTCGTTCAAATCAACTCTAACATCCACATATGGGATAAATCATGTTGTATTTCAAAACCTTAGTCAGGTAGTCGTCAACGGCTGTGAGATGAGATTCCCTGAGCAGGTGGCTCTTGTTGGCCAAGGGCAAATTCCTTGATGGGAGCACAAAGGGGTACTTAGTAAACAGATCCCACAGCATCGAGGCAACAGAAGGACCACTCTGGGAGTGAGACCTCTTTGCAGTGCCTCAGCAGCACCCACCAGACTGTGAGGCATTTGCGTACAGTAATAGTGCATAGTATAAAAGTGAGGCAGAGAATAGTTAAGGCATTTATCTTCCACATGACTCGCCTAACTCGTGAAAAATGAGGGGGTAGAATGATGCTTTTGCTCACAAAGTCACTGGCTCTACTCAGTCTTAGTTTTAGTGTGGCTTCTAGTTTCCATTCTTGTAAAATAGACATATATATAATATTTAGTGCTTCCATTTTCTCTTTATTTTCTAATTTTTTGTTTCTTTGGGGAAGAGAAAAAGGGGGGTGAGGAAAACTAAGAATCAGGTATATCATGTACCAGTACAAGATCTATATGATGACTGTGAAAACTATGTATGTCTAATCTGTACCGATAAACTTAATTAATGATAAAAAATACTCAGCTCTGTGCGGATCAGCACATTTGACATACAGAAAACAGTAGAGGAAGTATAATACACATAATAAGTATCTATAAATACTACCAATTATGAGGCTCAGCAAAGAGGTAAGATGATAAAAATTGTGGTATAAGAACTATTAAACTTCGATATCAAATACATTTAAATTTTTATTTTAAAGTTAATAAAACTAATAACTTTTAAAATGTATTTCAGTTAGGAATTCAAATGAATTTTCAGATATTTGGCTGATCTAACAAGTCCACAGGAAAAAAAATAAAAACATACCCAAAAATGAAGAAAACAATTATTAAACGTTATCAAACAGCTCTTCTATAAAATATATGTAAAGTATACAATTTTTCACAAGGAGAAAAATAGATTTTTCTTCCTTCATGATAGAGCTGAAATACATATGTGAATTATTCTTTAATTTAACTTGTTTAAGGGGACAAGAATATAGCTCAGTGGCACAGTGTTTACCTGGCAAGTGTGAGGTCATGAGCTTGAGCCCCGGTACCAAATATATATATATATGGCTTTAAGAAATTTATGTTGCTGTTGAAAATATCTAAGTAAAATATACAATCAAGAGAATAGGTAGAAAATGTACTCCCCTGGAGTTATTCAAGCTTCTTATTTGTGAAACTAGAAGTTAACTTTATAGTTGTGGTTGTCAAAATTATAATCACATTTGCCATATTCCAAAATTTATTTGAAATAATATTGCTATTAATAAGTAGCAAAATTTTGGGCATTCACAAAGTTAATACAACCAACTGGACGGTACATGTTTATTTCCCTTATAAAGTATTTATTATTAACCAAAGATATGCTTAGTTTCCAGCTTGAAAGAACTTGAGAGAGAGAATCCCTGAGCCAGGAGGGCTTGTATCAGATATTTAAAGGCTAGATCAATTGAGAAGAAAACAAAGTGACATTGAATGTATAACTAATTCTAATGTGTCTTAATCTATTAAAAATATCATATTCCTTGGTTTAGTCTCTATTAATTCTGTTTATTTATTTACTGTTACTTTATTTACTATGATCAATCTGTGACAATGTCATTTCTCAATAAAGTATTCCCATCAGCTAAAAATTGCTTTGATGTGATTGGTTTTGTATAGGCCTAGAAAGGAAACCACAGTATCATACATTTTCTCCATTAGAGCTCTGCTCATTCTCAATTCTCAGGAAAAAGTTTTAAAAATCTGAGCAATGAACCAGTGCTAGAAATCAGTGGAATCTTAAGAATTAATACATGAGAAGAGGAACAGAAAACTGAAGTCCTTAATTCTGACAAATGAAAACTAATTTAATTTTATCTTTGTAAATCATGATATTTGTGGTAAAACTATGTCCATAGTCTCTCTCTCTCTCTCTCTCTCTCTCTCTCTCTCTCTCTCTCTCTCTCTCACACACACACACACACACACACACACACTAAATTATCTCCTAGTGGTTAAATATATAGAAATTAATTCCATCCAATGTGTTATTGTGAAATATCAGAAACAATTCTGTTTGTGTGCATGCGCAATTAACAAAGATTAAATATGCATTGTTGTTTGTGTAAGTATGCATGTAATGAGCAAAGATTAAATCTTCATTGTTGGGTAAAAACTATGAGGAAGTAAGTTTTACCTCTTTTGTTACTTGAGGAGGAAGTTAGCAGGTTTAAAATCCTTTGAAGAGTTAAAAGATTAATCGCATAATTTGTCATATGATGTCATATTTTACCTTCCGGAAATAAAGGCAGCAGTACTTACACATGAAGAAAGCATTCTGAAAAGCCACAGCTATATAAAAATAGTGCTCTTCTTTCAAGTGGTTTCCCTGGATTGACAGCCTTCAAGCTTTAGAAGCACGTGGATAAATGCTAGAATATCTGGACACCAAACTCCAGAGAGTAAAATTTTTGAAACCCAGAAGATAGTGTCAGTTTGTTATATCTAAAATGCTTTTTGTCAGAGTTACCATGATACCCAACTTCAAAATGTACTACAGAGTCAGAGGAGCAAAAGCAGCATAGCTTTGTCATAAAAAGAGATCAGCGAGGTACAGAACCCAGACATAAACCTACCAAACTATAACCATCTGATTTTCTACAAAGGTGTTAAACATGTACATAAAAAAAAAAAAAAAAAAACCAAAGCCTTTGATAAAACTGATGCCAAGAACAGTGAATACTTTTAAGTGTAAACTGGAACTCATATGCCTATCCATCCTGTAGAAAATTGATTCAAGATGACTAGAAGATATAACATAATTTCAGATACTCCCTGTCCCGTGCCTGAACAGAATTAAATTGCAATAAGAAGCATTTCAAGGTTTGCTTTTATATTATTTAAAATTCTGAGACTTTCCCAGGAACTCTAGAGCCCCTTCTGTGATCTCAGTCAGGAACACTGTGCACCTGTTTTTCTGTCTGAGATTTTTGTCTCTGACATCTGTCATATTTTGCATCATATTTTATTTACCTTTGTATCACGCAGCAATAGTGAAAGATGCCAGGAAGTCTATTGCCCCTACTGGTACTCCTTTAAGTTCCCTATGACCGTCTCCGGAGCCACCCTCACTGCTGCTTAAGGACACCCGTGGTCTTTTATAATAGTGCCCTTCTAGACCCAGGTCCAGTGCTATTTCTTGAAAAAAAAAAAGTATAATCATCAATGCTTGTGTTGTACTTGCAATAAAATATTTTT